ACAATTCTCATGGAGTAGGCATACTATAAAGCAGTTGTTGCCAGTACTAGAAGTCACTTGAGGGGGTGGAGAAATGATTTTATATTCTCTGCTTCTGCAGGTTCATTTCCTCCTTTGCTGTGACTTTCAGACAGGCCTCCTGTCTCCAAGAGCTGGTAGAAACCTAGAGACTAGTTGGGTGTTGAGATAAATAATGTGATGCAGAGAACTCAATTCCTCCCAAATCATGGGAGTGCCTCATTTTTTTTTTAATCAAAATTCCTAAAAAAAACCTACCCCATGTATTTGTGTTCATTGAAAACAAATCTCTTGGCAGATTTTCCCTCCTTTTATTTCACAGGAATTGAGTTCCCGTATGTGATTCAGCAGGTATGTAATGCTACTTATCCCTTCCTGTATCTACCAAGTAGGCAGGCAACACACCTTAGATGCAGCATAAGGGTTTTTTGTACATTTTTTTTGTTCCACTGCTGTATCAGCGTTCATCAAGCTGGACACGTTGAGGCCTCATTGAAGGGTAAGAGGGTGGTTTCTGATTTCTATACGGCTTTTTATCTGTGTTCCAAACAGTCAATTTGCTCACTCAGGTATTAGGCTGCTAGGGTTGGGGGCAGCCTCACAAGGAGGTTCACAAGGAGCTACACTCCTGTGGGTGCAGCAACTTCAAGATGTAAAGGCTGAGCACAGGGCAGTAGAAATTGTGGTGAGCTGGAGGGTATGAGTGGCTCAGGCTGCTTTGAGGAGAGAGACTAGAAAGCTGGACTGCAAGAATGGGGTGGTTGTCCTGGTTTCTGTTCTAACAAAAGAGAAAAATACGTAATTAAAGCTGCAAGTATAAGTATATAAGTATAATAAGCTTCACTCAGCACCAAAGACTCCCAGAATATGATAAGCAAACTTTGAAAACACGGCGTATGAGTTCCGCCTGAGCAGCATGTCTCCTTGGGAACCTGTCCTGGTTTCAGCCATGAGAGAGTTAATTTTCTTCACAGAAGCTAGTGTGAGGCTATGTTTGGATTTGGGATGAGAAAATGTTGATAAGGTGCTGATGTTTTGAGTTGTTGCAAAGCAGGCAAGGACAGTCCAGCTTTCTGAGCCGGTCTGCCAGCGAAAAAGCTGGGAGGGGAGCCAGCCAGGACAGCTG